TCGACAAGAACTTTATCTCCGATTACGCCTCAGTCAACAACGACACGGTCTTCGAGTCGGCCGCCAACACACAGATACTGAATCAAGTGATTGTCGAACACTTCCTCCGCCAGGGAATGCTGGAGATAGCGGAACAGCTGACCCGCGAGGCGCGGCTCGACATTCCCGACCACAAGAAGAAGCCGTTCACCGAATTGAATACGATTCTCGACTCGTTGAAGGCCCGGGATCTGCAGCCGGCCCTCCAGTGGGCGATCGCCAATCGGGATCAGCTCCGCGCGCAGAACTCTGGATCGGCGCTCGAGTTTAAACTCCACAGACTTCAGTTCATTGAGCTCTTGAGGGGTGGCGTTCAGAATCAGATGAAACTCATCGCTTACGCGCGACAGTACTTCCAACCGTTGGCCGACAAACACGAGCGGGAGATACAGGCGATGATGGGTTCGCTACTCTACCTGAAGTCTGGGCTCCAGAACTCGCCCTACAATTACCTGTTGGACAGTATCGGGTGGTCAGAGATATGCGATATCTTTACGCGCGACGCGTGCGCTCTGTTGGGTCTGTCGGTGGAGTCGCCGCTGGCGGTGACCATCAACGCCGGGTGCGTAGCCCTACCGGCGCTGTTGAACATCAAGCAAGTGATGCAACAAAGACAGGTCACTAACGTGTGGAATACGAGGGATGAGTTGCCCATTGAGATCGATTTGAGCCGCAAGTGTCACTTCCATTCGGTGTTCGCGTGTCCTATACTCAGACAACAGTCGTCGGAGAATAACCCGCCGATGCGTTTGGTCTGCGGTCACGTCATATCCAGGGATGCGCTCAATAAGCTGTCCAACGGAACCAAATTGAAGTGTCCGTATTGTCCCATCGAACAGAATCCCAATGACGCCCGACTCATACATTTCTAATCTAGATCTTTTCTCTCTCTCTCTCTCTCTCTCTCTCTCTCTCTCTCTCTCTCATGATTTAAATGCTTTCGATATTTTATTTGAAATTTGTTTGCTTTTTCTTAACTTGTAATTAAATGAATGAGAATTTTGATTATTGTGTTAATTGAAAACATTGTGTAATCAATGCTTGTATTTCTCAATTACGTGAATATATTTTCTGTCAATATATTTTAATAAATAAATTTGAATTTAAATTAAATTGTGTTTAGAAATTAAATTGTGTTTAGAAATTAATTAGTTGTTTAATATGTGTTGAAAACATCACTTCATTATCACTTTTAGTGAGAAGTGTTTGATCTAGTTTTGCAATTCGTGTACTTATTTTGGCCAAAATATATACGAAAAATAGTGAATTTTATGAATGAATACAACCTAAATAGCAATTAAATAAAACAATTAAATGTTCACTAAATTTTACAGTAAATAAGTTAAAAATAGATAATATTTATATAGTATTGTAAGATTAAGTCAATTATTGGATTAAATGATAAATAGGTGCCTTGAGCGCCTTCTAGTGGAGCTAAAATTACCAAAATGGTATCATTATTTTAGGTAACATTCTTAGGCACCAGAAACCAAGTTTCATAAAATTCGCAG